TCTCAATGGCAATGCAGTTGGTCTATGAGGAGATTTCTATTTATTTACGCTGTATTAAACGCGTATCTTTTGTCAGTTTTTTTTTATGCAATCTGAATAAACTGCGTCATGAGATACCAAACATCGTACTATAAGTAAAGTGACTTACAGGGCAATTGTATGCTATATCATCATTTTAATAAGAACATAACCGCGGTCGTTGTTTTGACATAAAAGTGACAATAAGCAGTGACTTTTGTAACTCTGTGCCGGGAGAAAATCGTTGCTACCAGTGGTTTCGTTCACCTTTTCACTGTTTCCGGTTTTTTCCACGCTCCTCCCGTCTTGCCCTTTGTGTGGCGTGACCACCACACCTTCGTGTTTCCAGACCCATCATTTTCCCAGGAGACCGTGGCCGAGCCTTTGGTCCTCGGAGAGTTGTGTCTTGACCACGGGACTTGCGGCGACCCTTTTCCTCCTATGGCAAAATCTGGAGGCAGCAAGGGCGGCTTGTGACAAGTGCAGTTACACTGGACGTTGTATTCATGGTCGGCGTGTGGTGTGAGCGTCGATCTCATGACTTCGGCTGGCATGTTCTTAAGAGTCAACTTATCAGTCTCGTGTTACCTTCTTAAAATCGGTAGTGTTTACGACGACACCTTCGTCATCTTTTTCTTCATTACTTTCCAAGGCATGCTCAGAAGTATACATGAATTACACTGATTTGGCATCACTGCACTCCATCTTTGATAAATTTACAAAAGTTGCATAATGTTAAGGTCTAGAACGCAAAGAAAAAAAATCCAGAAGAGCGGCGCGAGGGAGGGAGCGCGGCGGAGGGAACCAAAAGCGAGCGCGAAAGCAGGGAGGAGGAGGAGGAGGAGGAGGAGCGGACTGGACGAGCAGGCGCGACGCGGTGCTACTTGGTACTGGCACCATGGCGGTTCGGGCCGGCAGCCCCCGCTACCACTTGCTGTTGTGATCAATATCTTGCAATAATTCATTCACGATAAGTTTCAATGACTGGTTCAGGGTAACTCGTGACTCGCCTGGTCTGCTCGAATGGGTGAATGTCCTCAGGGATTTCAGACGTAGTGATTTTGTAACACCCCATGCAAATCATAATAAATATCATGCCGAAAAGCAATAATAATCATGATTCTATCCTCAGTACATCCATTTAGCTGAAATACGATGCTATTATAAACCAATATATTATAAATAGCTACATATTTACGAACCAGATCTAGAGTTCAAGTCTCGTTCCTTTCCATTTTTCAGAAAAAAAATAAAAAAGGAAAATGCGATCTTGAATACAGGCCGTTAAGGGATAACTACCGATCTTTGGGCCCGCTAAAGTGAAGATGACCTTCATCCAGACGAGGCATGGTGACCTTCCCCTCACAGTACTGGCTGGAGCTCCTCGCTGGGCAACACTGCTCGCGTCTGTCTGGAAACTCACCAGGAAACCTTCTGCTGCCTGCAAAACCTCTCCACTCTTTCATCCTCTCGTTCTCTCTCTAAATCATTAAACTGCTCAATGGGTTTGGTTGTTGTTGTTTTTTGTATGTACACATATTTTTGTGCTATTACCTTGTATTATGCTTTTTTTGCAACTGTGAACAAATAGCAGATAAAATAAAATGCATTGCAGGATTAAGAATACTATGCCATAAATCAATCGCGAGGCTCCATGATGTCGCGCAATGGACATGATGTGTAAGAAAAGGCTTGTCTAATTTTCTTCTTACTTTCAGATTCAAATTATATCAACGAATGCTTATACAAATATATTTTATTAGATTAAACTGCATGTCCTTTTTGGTGGCGTGAGGCAAGGGTGATACTGCGCATGGCAACCACTACCTACCGATTCAGACTTCCAAAGAGATCTTCTAAACGATGTGCTAAAGATGAAGAATATTGTCCTAAACCATCAAAACTCTTCATTAAGGTGTCATGTGAAGTACTTGTAAAATGAAATTCATTATTTTCACCATCCTCCAATATTTGCACGTGCATCTTTAGTCAGTTTGAAAACTGCGGTTGGGTGGCACCTTCTGTTGCTGGAACACATGGTGCTAAAAAAATAAATGTTTCTTAAGAGCTACAAGATAGTTAACATTGGCACTTTTGAATGGGTGCGTGAAATGCGGGCGTTCCAGCAACCTATCGATTAAGGGGACTGCCAAAATATGATCACGCCCGTACGTATGTGCGAACGTATCCTCCAAGGTGACAAATGTAATAGAGTGTAGCGAATTTTCTTCTCGTGGCTAACTCGAACCTCATGGGAATAGTGTAACGTAGTATTACTGTCAACAAACAAGGGCATGGCCAGGCCAGGCATAGCATGCAGATTGTGCAAATCTCACTAGGATGGCGTGTGGCATCCTCCTCCTCCCCCTCTTCCTCCTCCGGCTGCTGCTGATCCTTCTCCTCCCCTCCGTGAGAGTTCTTACATTGGCGGAACTCCCTAAAGGGCGACTGGGTAATTCCGGTGATGTAGGACATGCCAGCTATACTACGGGGGGCGAGGCCAGCTCTGCTACGTAATTTTCTTATTATCTTCACATGCCAACTTCGGTTTAACCAATACGCTGGCAAGGTCTCGACAAGGAAGACTGCCAAGGAACGATGTAAGTTGCTACAGGATGAAAACCTGTGAGCAGATTGATATTGGGAGGATTTGTAAGCGATCACGACATCTCCTTTTCCGAGAACCGATGTCTGGGTCGAGGGAGGGAACTGTGGCGGTGAAGCGCAATGCGAAACCTACAGTAATGTGCTCCCTTCCTTAGTCCTCTTGGACGACAGGAATTACTGAAAGGATTTTTTTTCATATGAATACTCAGTATTAAGAGTTTCCGTTCCTAAGGAACGTGAACGGCTTTTGGTTGTTTGTTGGTTGGTATACGTCAGTTTTACTTATTCGGACGGGCCAGTATGATATAAGTATGCGGGCCATATAATAAATATATTCTAAGTATAAAGGGACCCATTGGTGGATTACTTAAAGCATATTAAATACTGCCAAACGTAAAGTATAAACAAGTTAATCCATTAATCAGAAACTAAAAACAGAATACGTGGTGTTCCTGAAAGACAAGAGGCCGTGAACTTCCGTAATGCAATTTTGTTTGCATTATCAGTTTCATTAAGTGTGGCCCTTTCCTATAGCGATTTATGTAAGAAAGCAAAAGTGCCTAATATGAAAATTAATATGGACACAGCGAGAAGGAACGTAGTTGAAAAACATATTCCACGTAACCGTATATATTTATTTCCCGTTTTCGATTTCTCACATGTCCTAATGTGTATTGTTTGGTACACATAATATACATAATGGTAGTGAAGCAGACAGAAGCTATAGTTAGACTTTAATTAATCCAGCTTAGGCGAAAGTTGAACGACCTAACGTATATGTGCTCTTTAATTAGATAAATATCATCGGCTGTTAAGTGCGACATAACCGTGGGCTCTGGGCGCAGCATGGGCAGACGTGCATTTCTATGAATAAGTCACGTATTAGGCTTCGAGTAATGTCATATATTATGTAGCATCAAAATGTCCCACTTTTCGATGACTATTACTGCAATCGTTTTTTTTTCCAATTAGATAGAAAATGTTTAGTGAACTTTTATGTCTGTTTCAGTTTTCGAATAATCAATGGGATTGCTTAACCTTAAGAGTAAAAATGGCTAAATATATGCCGAGTTGCAGGAATAATAAGTATTATTTCCATTTCGACGTCATTACGTTCCTGCTGGTTTAAAAATGTAAAATAATTAAGTTCAGGAAAATTGCCGAGTAGTGCCAGTATTAAATCAAATTATTCTATGAGGTTAAAGAATGTATAAATGTAAGTTAGAAAAGGGAGGTATTTTGGACCACGCAGTTAATTCATTTAATTAAAGTATAATTTTGTAGGAAGGCATGTCATTGCATAATATTGGCCACATGCTCTAACCTGCCATGAAACTCGGTCTTAACATGCTTCATACGAACATCCGTTCTCGATCATGTGAACACTTGTTCTCGGTCGATTTTGAAAATAACTGCATCACACACTGTACACCCGCTTACTTCTTTGTTTTTATATTGTTATTTCCTTTGTGTTTTCTCGGAAGGACTGGCATCCTGACTTCGCTCGTGTGACCTAATTCTGTAATTTATTAAACTGATGACATGAAGAGGTTACTGGTTGTTTCATTCTTTCGTTCAGCTCGACATCAATGTCACTTAAGCATTACCTTAAGTTTTTGTCGTAATAACAAAGAACTTTCCTTGTGAATGTCAGCATGAACCTGTATAGAGTATTTTAACGAACAGAGTTAGTGACCTTTCAGAAGTCACTGACCTCATTAGGATAGGAGCGCGTATTGAAGCGCACGTAAGTAGATGTGTCATCGTAGTTTATTTTCTATAACTGTTTGTAATGTAAAACAAACAGTGGCGAATTAAAGGAGAAAATACACGTCTGTATGATTACACACACACAGATGCTCTACACGAAGATACGTAGACTCTAAAGAATTGTTACAGTTGTTAAAATTGCCTTTAAATATATTTGATAAAAGTATGTTATGTACTATATTGAGAATATCGTGCATGCAATTTGCATAGTGATCCGCAAAATATGGGTGCGGCGTGTACCCCCAGGAGGGCGGGGAACTGGTATGAGGGAGTGGGTTGGTGTGAGGTCAACTTTACTTCGTATGCACATTCTTCTGTGGATATTTCAAAGCGCAGGTTAGGTAGAGGATTAGTATTAAGCAGCGAGTGAGAATATGTGTTATCATTGTTTTGTGACCAGACAACATACGAGGCACAAAACTAGTGCTGCATCCTAGAGCATCGCGTATATCATGCACCATTCCTATCATGCAGTCTTCTTTCGCTTTGCCTTCGGTGGCAGAGCGAATAAAGATTAAGAAGCATATGTTAGTACAGCACACGAGAGGTGAGGCGATCTCATCAACAGGCGGAGTTACCTGGCGGTGTTGACGGACGGCGCAATGTTGAAGAAAGCTTGTTTGTTCCCATCGTTGATGACAGCGGTTCCGGAGGAGACGACGCGCTTTCCCTTGGCGTTGGGACGCCCTTTAACGCCCTGCTGGTTGCTCTTGCCGGTGGTGACAATTCGCTCTGCAAAACCCCCTTCCGTTCTGAAGGTGATGGACTCTTTCGCGGTGCCATTGTTGCTAAAATGGAAGGTCTTGGTGACGGAAGCACCTGTGGCTGCCCCCATGGAGGGGCCGGAGCTAATGATGGTCCTCTTGAAAGACGGTGACGTGTTAGTGGTCGTGGCCGTGACGCCCCAGCGACCAGGGGTCCTCACGATGACGGTTCCGCCCGTCATGGTGCCTCCGGGGTCTTCCTGGAGAAGCACCTCCTGCGTCTCTTCCTTCGTCTCTACTTCTTGGTTCGGTTTGGAGCAACATTTACCCATTCAGGTGACTCACGCTTCTCTGATATACAACCTTAGAACGAGCAGGGGAGGTCAGTACCGAAACAGAACACCGGGGTATTCATCATATTTTCGAATGATTCCTTTCTCGTAACACAGCGAGGGTTAGACACACACACACACACACACACACACACACACACACACACACACACACACACACACACACACACACACACACACACACACACACACACACACACACACAAAGAGAGTGAGAGAGAGAGAGAGAGAGAGAGAGAGAGAGAGAGAGAGAGAGAGAGAGAAGAGAGAGAGAGAGAGAAAGAGAGAGAGAGAAAGAGAGAGAGAGAGAGAGAGAGAGAGAGAGAGAGAGAGAGAGAGAGAGAGAGAGAGAGAGAGAGAGAGAGAGAGAGAGAGAGAGAGAGAGGGAGAGAGAGAGAGAGAGCGAGAGAGAGTGAGAGAGAGAGAGGCAGGGTGGGAGGGAGGGAGAGAGGGAGAGAGGGGAGAGGAGAGAGGAGAGAGGAGAGAGGAGAGAGGAGAGAGGAGACAGGAGAGAGGAGAGAGGAGACAGGAGAGAGAGAGAGAGAGAGAGAGAGAGAGAGAGAGAGAGAGAGAGAGAGAGAGAGAGAGAGAGAGAGAGAGAGAGAGAGAGAGAGAGAGAGAGAGAGAGAGAGAGAGCGAGAGGGAGAGAGAGAGAGAGTGAGAGAGAGAGGCAGGGTGGGAGAGAGGGAGAGAGGAGAGAGGAGAGAGGAGAGAGGAGAGAGGAGAGAGGAGAGAGAAGAGAGGAGAGAGAGGAGAGAGAGAGAGAGAGAGAGAGAGAGAGAGAGAGAGAGAGAGAGAGAGAGAGAGAGAGAGAGAGAGAGAGAGAGAGAGAGAGAGAGAGAGAGAGAGAGAGAGAGGTGGGAGACAGACAGATATAAGAAAGTTAGAAGGGAATACAATGCACTCTCACATATATGAACGTATACTACATGGAGTATCCTAACATATTTCCGTAACAGTAAAAAGATAATGACAAAATGTTTGATCGACTGAAATTACGGCAAATATATGGGTAAAAATGAAACAAGAAAGAAAAGTAAATATCCCACATGGAACGCACATCAATAACAGACAGACAGGTAACCAAATACACAGAGAAGGAGACATCTAGACATATAGACAAACAGACAGCTCAGTTAAATGGACAAACAGAAACAACGGCTTCATGACAGACGATTAGTCATGAAAACAGCCTCGAGTGTTATAGTGATAGTCATGACCTGGGTGGCCATGAGGGTGAAGGCCATACACTCCGATTTGGCACAAACGGGTGTTGATTTATGGTTGTTTAGCGATGCTAATTGATTTCTCGCACAGTCATCAGGTGGTGGGAGAAATGATCATTTCTGACCCTCACGGTAATTGCTTTGAATGGGACAACCTCACTCCACATTCACGGTTCGTTTCTAGCTTTATCATCCTCAGTATCTTACATATATTTGTTGAAAATCTGTGACAGTCTTCTCTTAATAACATAAAACATCATGATGATAGTGAGAATGATAACGACAGTAAGAAAAATATACTAATAATATATGAATAAAAATTACATTGATAATGATGGTATATATATATTGCAGGAAATGCCAGTGGCTGACAGTTACGAGTCTGACCTGTTTTCTTTAATATGGTAATTCACGCCCTATTTACATGTGCATGTAAATATTTTATTATGTTTACTTCACTGTTGTCTCTCCTGATGTTACAGTTCGAGTCATACTGATTTTCAGCGTATATGACTTGGCTGTTAATGAAGAGAACAGGTAACTTCTCCAGTGTTCCGAGCTCCATTATCGCAAAAGCTATTTTTAAACAATTATCAGAAATTATATATCTCATTATAACGGAAAGGGATGTCCTCGAATATCAAAGCTTATGTTCCTTTACGCTGCTTGATGTTCATGTGAAAGAACTCACAGGCTACAGAATCCCTAACCAAGAACCACGGACACCCAGGTACAGCGGCCACACGATCTAGACCTTGACACGATCCAGGTCTGCTTCTGGTACGGAACAGAACGGCTCAGCAGAATCACCGTAAGCAAAGG